GTGTGTGTGTGTGTGTGTGTGTGTGTGTGTGTGTGTGTGTGTGTGTGTGTGTCGGTATTTGGCCCATACAGTCTCCTCGCTACTAGAGTTCTATTTCATAGTAATAGACCTGATCCGTGACCAACAGGATGAGAACAATTACGACATCACTGCCGATATTTACTCTAAGATGTCCACGCGATCTCTAACGACCAACAAATGCTTGTCCAATGTACGCATGGCATATGTATCAGCATTTGTCATCCAATGATCTCCTTCTTATACGTAAAATAGTGAACTCTCCCAGGTAAAAATAGTGAACTCTCCCAGGTAAAAATAATCGTGTTGAGGATTTCGATATGAATGACAACGTACAAAAGGACATTTTGAACGAAATGTTGAATTGCAGTCCAGCGGATCCCGCTGTCATGCGACATTGTTACTGAAGATTTCGTTCCAGACGCAAACAGGTGTCGACAGCGTGAGAGCAGTGGTGACGCCACCGCAACGCAGTGGAATGTTTCTCGGCCGACCGTTTCGAAATAAAGGGACTCGTTGTCGCTGGCTTGAAAGGCAAGAAATAAGATATATTGGACAGCCGCTTTCACCGGTTCCTCGGGTCATCTTGCCTGGTGGGGATAACCTTGATTTTATAGGTTGGTCACGCTAGCCGGGAGGCCTGCCTAGATCACACTGAGACAGACGTTTACGCGCTGCGCGTGGTAATCGGGCTATCCATGCCTCCTAGTCAACAAAAACGAAAATCGCACGCAATCATGCACCTGGCTGCAACGTTCGGTTGCCGGCTACAATTTTCCTCGGTTCTATCTCTGATTTGTAACCGCAACTCACAGCCAGCCGCATAACGATTTCCTCCCCCCCCCCCCACAAACAAAAACATTTGTAAAGCGAGTATATGTGGTTTTGTCTAGTCTCCTTCTAAAAGGAATGTTATACTTGCGCGGCGACGATGTAGACAAGGTAGCGTTCGTGTCGTTTTATGGAATACGATACTTTTACACGCCGCGTAACAAGAAAAACGTGGGGGGGGAGGAAAATCGCGATTCAAGGTTGAATATTTTAGCCGATATTTCATAAGTATAGGATCTGGCCCGCATACAACTGTCGAATAGGCTTGAAAACGCAAGTGTAGATGCTACAGATTACCACACGGTTGTTGTTACCTCCTGAATACCGAATGGTATAATCAGCAAGACGACTTTGCTTTCAAGAAGATGCGCCATTAGTATGTATAGGTTCTGTTCGTTGGTCAACTGACTTAACGATTCAATCTCCCATTACCTAGACATTAGCAGTAGCAGACACGAGCAAGCCCGCGAAGAATCCGGATGTTGGGGACGCGATTACGCCAAGCAAGGATGATGGCGACGCTTGCAAGCGATGTCAGTACAGTTACACGTAGTTCTTATGTTGCGGCTTAGCTCACGGGGAAACATGAATATACGTAACGGGACCTCGTAATTTTAACTATGATGAAGGACCACAATGGCATTTCCGGTGAATACGTAACATCTTAGTGGGCGTTAAGGTGTGTTTGGTCTCTGTCACAGAAGTCAATAGTAAATCCATCACGATGTGACCATTGTATAGACACTAGATAAACACGTGTGATATTATCCACCCCAACCACACCAATAATATTGCGACGAAGGTGACGACGCGGAATGTTACGTGGATTACAATGTCCGCAACAGCACAGAGTATCGACCCGCCCCCCTTTGACAGCGCACGCTGCCATTGTCGCCCTGCTTCCTCGATCATCACACCAAACTCTACCACGTTCATCTTAGTATTGAGAGAGAAAAAATATTCCGGTTAACTTATGTGAAGCGGCTTTGCCGTGTTTCCGAATGACGATGGTGATGACTCGATGATGACGATGGTGATGAATCGATGATGACGATGGTGATGACTCGATGGAGAGATAACAGCACACAGCGTCGCAACTCGGGCGTTGCGCGTATTGTGTGACAGGCGGTTATTCTATCGTGAATCGTAATAGTGGTACGCGTCGGTGAGATACACCGGTGCTAAAACGTATGTCCTGTACAACACATAAACAACGAAAGAACTGATATGTACGTATTAAAGCAAGTAAGTATTTAATGAACATATCTAACACACCACGTAGATCCACATAGTGAGGATGGACATAGTTGTCGTGTACGGCGCGCGGCATGCACATCAATCAAACTCTTTCCTCGTTCGTCGAGGATACGCGATGACAGCTAGCTAGATACTATATATATACGTGCTGCATGCGTTTAACGAGATACTCTTACACTCGCAGCGCAGAAAGCGACACTCGCCGTTTTACGAGCAGCAGCGACGAGTGGGGTCGTTAAGAGAACTCTCAGACCGTGCCCACGTGCACGCGTGCGATGACAGCGAATGTAGGTATAGGTCAGTGAGGCTTGCCTCGCGGGCTCGAAGCATTCACTCGCCGCGCCCGACGTGTTCAAACGGCTCTACTTTCACGTGCGCCGCTTGCACTTACCTACTTGATTGATTGACCTGATGTATATATATACAGTTTCGAGCGCGCAGCCACCGCGCATCACAATATGGGTTTATGGGCCTTCTTCCGTTAACTGTGCGTGCCGCGCAGTCACAAGCGAGTTAACACTGGCACGACGAAGTTCCAGCCAGCCTCGTATAAAAGCCTAGCGCGCTCTGGCAGGCCGCAGCAGTCGACAGCAGCAGGCCACGATAGCAGTGAGGTCCTTCCTACTCGATATACGATTGACGATCTGCGTATAGTATAGAGCCACACACATACACAGCTGTCGCCATGATGAGACACGCCATCGCATCCCTACTCGTCCTCATCGTTGCGGGTGAGTCAAAGAGATCTATGATCATATCGGATATGTCGTCTTCTTCGGAAAACATATGTATCTCGCGTACGTCGCTAGACTTAGCGGGAACACTGTGTCGAAATTCGTTTGCGATTTAACACTCGGATTATAGACGGTTTTGCATTTATTCCTAACCACGCGAGGTTTTTTTTACGTTTTGTAAGTTTGAAAGTAAGAAAAGGTCAGAAATTTTGAAAGTAAAAAGTAAGAAAGTAAGTAGGAATGGTCAAAGCAGCGACGAGGTTTGTACGACGATACCGCCTTGATCTGCGCTCAAACTTCGTATATATTTATTTATTTATTTATAATTATATATATATTGTATAAATTGGTAAACCGGGGTAATAGGAATAAGCGTAGAGAACCCAACTTGACGTCACATGGCTACGCCAACTTGGTTATTACATAGTAAACGTTACGTTGACCGTTACTTATCGGAATGTACCAATGAGAACTAGATTAATCAAAAAGATTTATCGTTTCTTGTAATCATTCATCTGAAATAACTCGTTCTAAAGCGTTCAGCTGATCGTTACTCTGCAAACAACTCACAAACTCTGTACAAACTCTTGTAACACTTAAACTGCTTGTTATCATTCTAATGCTCAATCAATCACTCCGCAACGAAAGCGACAACGTTTTCTTTGTCGGCAAAAAATATAACGCGAGGACTCTCATTTTCGAAAAATCACGTGACGATGCGAACTCATTACGATACGTCATCGTGTTACGTACGATACGTCATTGCATACGTCATACGCCTCTAATAATCTAAAACAACGAAACAACCGAGCGCTAATTGCACTTACTTTATAATTCCTTAATCGCGCCGGTATTGCTCCGATATTTCCCCCTGCAGAAGGCGCTCGAGGGAGCGAAAGCGAAATTGCCGCTGTTCAAATGTAGGCGCATCACAACTAGCGCTCGCGCACAGATTAGAACAATGTACGACAGCATAACGCAGCGGCAGAAGGGATGGTAATTGCGGGCGAAATCATTAACGAAACTTGCGCATGCGTCACTGGCTTTTCAGCTGTCACTGGTGTATGTCGGACTCTGATATATGCGCGCTATGGGCAATGTCTATAATACGTCTTATTCTATGTCTTATGCTTATACAATGTCTTATACTACGTCGTATATAAAACAAAGGTTTTGCGCAACTTTTTCTGCACTGGGTTCTGAGTGAGACGCGAGTCGAAGCTCTAAGTTTCTATTGTAGCTCTAGGCATATACCCTGGATGGTTTCTCTATACGTAAATCGCACGCGCTCCACATCCTATATAATTGCCTTAGGTTGGTATCTCTGTAGTAACTCCCGCAGTGGATACTTGTATTTTGGCAGTGGATCGGCTCTGACACCGATTCATGTATGGTCACTTTCTCTCTGATATTTTCCAAGCATTCGCGGTCGTTGTCGATGCATTACCCCCCAGAGGCCAAGCGGCCCTACCAAAATCTCATTAATTCTCGTGAGGTGACTTTTGCGCAACCGATGCGAATAGAGCATTAAATGTCAGCGATTTCTGACTATCAAAAATCTAATTGGTCATTGAAGGACGCGACATTCGTCTGAAATTCCTTAATCAAAGATGGCCGAGTCGTGGAAAAATTGCGTAAAGGGACGCTAGCGCCGTAGCGTGAATAGATTCACTTTACTCACTGTATTGTCTACGGACTCACGTCCTTAGAGTGAGAGTATACTACAAGTGAATGAAGTGAAACTACGCAGCCTTCCTGCACGCTTGTCACTAAATAATCGCAATCGTTATCAGTAGCGCGCCGTTCGTGTCCCATGTTTCCCGACTCTCTCTCTCTCTCTCTCTCTCTCTCTCTCTCTCTCTCTCTCTCTCTCTCTCTCTCTCTCTCTC